TATAGGGTGCCCAACGAGATCATCTTAGATAATGGCTCGCATATCAAGAAAGAGATGACAGACCTGCTGGAGAAATATAACGTGACTTTTCGTAAGTCATCAACATATAGACCGTAGACCAATAGAGTCGTTGAGGCTGCAAACAAAAATATCAAGAGAATCTTGCAGAAGATAGTGGAAACCTACAGAGACTGGCCGGAGAAATTGCCATTTGCACTCTGGGGTTACAGGACGTCAATCCGAACATCTATAGGGGCAACCTCCTATTCTCTAGTTTATAGGATGGAAGTTGTTCTTCCAATCGAGATTGAAGTACCGTCACTGAGAATTATGGCTGAATGTCAGATAGCAGAGGCGGATTGGCAACAGAGCAGATTTGAAGAATTGATGTTGTTCGACGAAAGAAGGTTGAAGGCATTGTATCACATACAAGGCTACCAGCGTAGAATTACTAGGGCTTTTAATAAGAAAGTCAAGTCCAGAAATATCAAAAAAGGAGACATGGTGCTCAAAGATAACCGAGCCCCCATCCATGACCCCAGGGGCAAGTTTAGACCCAATTAGACTGACCCTTATATCATCAAGTCAATCTGGTCTGGAGGAGCAATTATTCTTATGGATTTAGATGGCCTGGAGTTTTCACAACCGATCAACATGGACAAGTTAAAGAAATATTATCCCTGAGAGACTCGCTAGGCCGAAAACCCGAAAGGGCAACCTAGGCAAAAGTTAGAGCATGAAAACTTAGATAAAGAAGAATCGAGCTTGCAAGGCCAAAAACCCAAAAGGGCAATCTTGGCAAAAATTAGAGCGCAAAAGGAGAGAATAAATACTCGAGTGAACCCTCACCGAACTACATCAGGCCTAATTCTCATCTTTGGGATACATAGACAACTTCTTCCCGAAGTTCGGCCATAACCATTTTCAACTCAACTGTCCTGTTCACTTAGTTTAATCAATCCATCATTCTCCATCGTTTGTCAGCTTGGTTGTGTTACTTCCATTCGGGTAGAAAGGTCAGTCACAAGATGAAGCAGTAATGATCAATGCAATTTAAGGGGTAGTTATGATTTTTCGATTTGGGGTTGTACAGTTTAGGATTGATTCCGTGTATATCTGGTGGTGACCATTTTCGAAAAAGGAAACTTTTCAATACTCACTTTAATTTTATTGATTTTAACACAGGTACATTCTCCAAAACAAAGTTGTTTTTATAAAATAAAAATAATAAAAAAAAAACTTGAAAAGAAAAGACAAAGCAATAAACTAGGGGCATAGATGAGTCAAGTGTCAATTCTCTGTCTCTTTCTCGTACCCGTGGAAGTCTTTGTAACCGAAGTCGGCCTAACTTGTTCCTCGTCCTCAAGCCAAATCAAGTACTCGCTAGGAAGGATGCAATTAAAATTCAGGGTCGAAGTAAGAAATTCTCTTGTGCACCAAGCAGCGAGGTATCGAGGCAAGTACGAACTATGAATAGGAAATGAAGCTGGGTACTTATCCTTTTATCCAGACAATTCTGATCATGCCCAAACTGGCATCTGAATGTGAGTGGAAAATAGAACACACAGTGTGTAAGGCCAATCAACTGTATACCTGGTTACCAGAACATGCTATAACTCATCTTAGCCAAGTTAAGCCAGGGGGCATGCCAAGTAATGTTAGTTGCAGACTTGTTGCGCATCCAGTCACACCACGTTCCTTCTGAGGAGACCTCCACTAGCTGTGAGCGAAGAGAATAAGCTCTGGCCGAGTACTCAGGGCAGGGGTCTATTACCTTCAGCTTATCCATTAGCCAAACCTGGGGAGAGAAGGAAAATAAGAGAGAACAAAAGAATAGAGATATACATTGAGGGAAAAGTAAGAAAAGGATTTCGAGAAAAAAACAGAGATCATGTGCCAAATGATGTGAGGAACATAAATAAGAAGGGTAGGGCATAATACCTGGAGAAGTAATGCACTCCTCGCAAAATGAGTAGTCTCTCGTTGATGAAAAGCATCTAAACTTGTCAAAGTCACGGCCAACACTAAACCCATACAACTCTTACCCTCCTTAAGACATTGGGCTACTTCGATCAGTTTAATACTAGCTCCACTGTAACTAGGTGCAAGAAGGAAGTGTGCAGGTAAGCATAAGCAGAGGGCATGCTGACGATAACTCCGCCAAAGGAGGTTTTTTTTTATCACCGGTAAGGGAAAACTGACTAATCAAATCCAGAATGCCTAATTTCCCATTATGAGCCAAGGATCGAGCCTCTTGCAAAGTATGCCCACACATCCGTCCTAAGGGCTAAGCATGACCAAAACGAGGTTGAAGCATGATTTCCTTATCACATTGAGATTCCATCAATGCTTGAAATTTTTCAAGTGTCGGACACATCTCTTGTGAACCAAAGCGGAATACATACGTAATTGGATTCCAGCATCGAGCAGCGGCATAGAGAAATGGAAAACAAAGTGAAGTGCGGCTCAATGAAAAAAGAGCATTTAGGTTGAAACCACAAAAGTTCACCTTTTTCGAGCCATCCAAAGTGATTATCTAGTCTTGGAGCCTATGGATGGGCAACATCTCCATTTTGAGAGCAAAATGTAAAAAACTCGCTCTCTTGCCAGAAACGACAGTATGGGAGCACCATTTATAGAATTTCGGATGGAATAGTGGGTCACAGCTGGGCATCTACCAAACCTTGCATCATGGTCCGGCCGTACCTCAACGGAGTCCGGTCGTGCCCACTGTGGTCCGACCGTACCTCAGTGGTGGGCCAGACAATGCACTAGCATAAAAGGCTGCTCTTTGTCCTCTTGTGTTGTGGATGTATTTTGAGTTTTGTTTTGCTCATACCAAGTCTGTTGTAATGATTTTGAGTTATTTCCATTATGTTTTCTTTTTATCAAGTTGTATTGTACATTTTATCCATTTGAAAGTTGTTATCCAATTCATGAATCAAGCACAAATATCAGGAAAATCATCATGCAAATTGCTGTCCATTTGTCATATGCAAACACAATATAAGAAATTCGCAAGAAGAGATCATCCACATAAAAATAAAAATAAAAAAAGCCTATTTTTATAAATTAACGGGTCCAACACCAATCATTGTTTTACAAAATAAAACATAACACAAAAGAAAGGTTTTTCAAAAAATAAAGGGTCTACCTGAAGGAAGTGTTTAAAACAAAACAAAACAAAAAAAAAAAAAAAGAAGATCATCATCGTCATCAATAGTCTGTCCTAGCTCTCCTCCTCCTCGGCTGCAAAGAATGCACATCGCTATCATCGCTGGCACTCCTAGACTGTATGTCAAACTCCTCTCCCTCCTTCTCAGGGGTCGGAGAGCCCTCAAAGGACTCCTCAGAAGGTGAGCGCTGCCTCACTCGGCCTCTTCCTCGATCAGCTCCTCCTCTGCCCCTCACTGGGCCCCACCTCTATCTCCTAGCTGGAGGAGGTCTTATAGGTGCCACTGGTGCTGGTCCAAGCTGAAAAGAAAAAAGGAAAGGAGAGTGCAGATAGTTATAAAATGACAAATGGAGTCGGAATGAAATGACTGTAAACTAGGGGCAAAGCTTACCTCAAGCCCATGAGCAGCTAGAGTGGTCTGACTCCGTCGCACCATGAGGAGTAACCGGTCGATTGTCCGAGCAAGGTCATCTGCAAATACCCGAGATACTTTCAAAAGAAAGAGTAGAGTTTGAAAAATATAGCCATAAATAGGAGCAATAAAATAAGATAACATGCAATGAATGGAAACCATAAGGAAATGTGTACCTGCTCGATGCCTGGAGCAAAAACTATCCGGCAGTCCTTCTCCTCGATCTCATCGATCGGAATCTGCTCGAGCACCCCATTTGGACGCATGTATGTGATCTCCGTGGGAATCATAGGGAACCCAGGAATAGGAGCAACGGCAGGAGCGCCTCTAGCAGGGGCATCACCGGCACCAGCGACAGTAGCCGCCACCTTCGGAATTGCATGGGCCACGCCCAGGGTGAGGGGTGCCATCACCCGAGTGTGCAAGAAGGTTGTGAAGTCACCGGCCATATAATATCTATCACCATCCTCTCCCTCCATCAAGAGGTCGATCATAGGTCCATCTTGTATCGCATCAACTGACCTCATGCCTGGAGGAGGAGAATGCGGAACGTCTGGATGGGCAACGCCTCGGGTCTGGCGGATGAACCACTCCCTCAGATAATAGGTCCGACCAAAGAGACCCTCGAACAGAATCCGCATAGTAAAGGCATACCAGGCAGCAGCATAAGTCGCTCTGGACACTGCGAAGATACCCGCCCAGGGATGCCAATCAACCTGTGAATTTGTATAGTGTCAAATGTCAGTGTAGTGTCAGATATCACTCAGTGTCAGAAACCGATGCAGTGTCAGAAAATCAGTGTGTAATGAGCAAAACAATACAGTGGCCAATGTCAACAATATGAGCATGATAGTACAATATGGGAATAGTGATATGTAATGCAAAGAATGATATTGTGTTACTTAGTCCGTAATGATCATATAAAAGAAGCGGCGGAAGTATAGAAAGGTCCGGTCTACTAGGCGGCGGCGTCTAAACCGTAAGTTGTAGTACCAAGAGCGGGGTACTGATAACTCAATCGGCCTCACTGGGACTGTTGCTAGAGTGGTGAAATACATGTAAACCTAGAGCTGTAAACAGATGAGCATGAATCAAGCAAATGAGCAGGTATGAAATGCAGAGTAAAAATGAACAGGAAATACAAAGCATAGAATGCAAAGTTAAATAGAAAAGTAAAGGGAATATGGGTTTAGGTGGCGTTTTTTTAATGACGTTTTTTAAAGCGTCACTGTTTCTAATATTTAACGGTGTTTTATAAACGTCGTGTTTTTCTTTAATTGAAACGGCACCGTTTTATGAATAGGAGGCGTTTATTAACGCCTTCAAATGCGTGCTGTCTCACGCGCTTCCTTTTTCAATCTGAGAATCTCGACTCCCAAATTGAACCGATGCACTCGCAAATAATCTCTCTCTCTTTCTCTCTCTCTCTCTCTCTCTGCTGTCTAAACCCTGATCATCACAGAGATTCAGTTGCTTATCAATGAAATCCTCAGAAATCGAAGTTCTCTCTCGAAATCGAAATGATTCATCAGAGCGATTTCGAAGTTCATCTCAGCGATTCAGATATCGAAATCGAAGTTCATATCTCGGAATTTTAAAATTCTGAGTTCATATCACTTCGATTTCATATTGCGATTCAAATCTGAGTTCATATCACTTCGATTTCGATTTAGATTTAGATTTGAGTTCATATCACTTCGATTTTGATTCAGATCGTGATTCAGATCTCAGCGATGCAGATCTGTCTCAGTGATTCATATCTGGAAATCGAAATCGAAATCGAAGTTCGATTCAGATCGTGATTCATATTTCTTCTCGCTCAGGTTAGCTTTGGTCAGTCAGAAGCAAAGGTTTGTTAATCAATTCTTTACTTCCTCTTCATTTTTCACCTTTGATAATTTTTTCCTTTCAACTAAAAAATGTTTTTTCCTTTTACCAATATTTTCCCTTTTCAGATCGTTTTCTTTCAACGGTTTTGCTCTGGTTTGCTGCCAATGCCCTTAGATTTGAAATTATAATTTTTCTGATCAGATAGAGGCTATCATGAATGATTTTATTCAGCTGAAACCTCAATCTAATGTTTACGAGGCTGAAACCATGGTTGAAGGTTAGAAGCTCTATTTGAGGTTTTCTTTCAGGATATTTATATATGACTCAGGATTTGATGTTGTTTACTTCGTAATTTTTGTGCTTCTTTATGTTCAATCATATATCAGGAACACTGGATGGATTCTTATTTGATTCTGATAATGACGCTGACAAGATGCCTAAAACCGTCACTAATCAGACTGATCAAAATGAGGGCAATGGAGAGCAATCCAACACAAAAACTAAAACAAAAGCTGAAAAAACATCAGTATGCTTCCTAACCTTTCTCAGTTCATTATGTATCTCATTGAATGACAAGATCGTATATTGATTGTGCAACATGTCGTAATAAAGAAATGCTAATTTACAATGCTACGTAGCTCAAATTTTGTGGCTCAAAAGTGGCTCAAATGGCCAAAACGACGTCGTTTTGAGTACAGAACAACATAAAAATGGCCAAAACGACGTCGTTTTGGCCATTTGAGCCACTTTTGAGCCACAAAATTTGAGCTACGAGCCATTTTCCATATATGAGATCATGGATGTAGGGAGTCGTGCGAAAAAGGAGTGGTAAAGCTGCATGAGGAAAGCCACCCAAGAAAGTAAGAAAGAAAACCCAAGCTCCGAAGAACAGCAAGACTAAGAAATGAGAGATGCTACTGAATGTGATAAATTGTGGTGTGTGGGCCGACATCAATTCTCATTGGTGAAGGAAGAAGTATGGTAACAACAATTTATATTCCATAATTTGTATTTTTTTTAATTTTTAATATTTACATTTGTCGAATTTGAAAAAGAGCAACAAGAAATTGTTCAACATGCCCTCTTTTTCTGGAGGGTTGTTAAATTATACATGAATTGCAAATCAGGTTAAAGTCTGGACTTGAGAAACAAATTACACTGTTAAATTGAATGGTGTGGTGCCTAACTATGTAAATTACAATGAAAGTGAATAATGGTGAAAATCTGAACTTCTCTTTTCTCCTCTCTCTTCTTAGAGAATTGTATTTTAGAAGAACAAATTCAAGAAAAGGACTATAAGGATTATTGATATTGGTGAAACGGGTAAAAGAACTTTTGAGGAAGAAACCATGTCTGCAATCTCTCCATGACCCTGTTGTTGTTCTTGGTATATTGGTGGACTCTGTTGTTCTTGGTATATTGGTGGAGCTGGTATTGTATCATTTGGTCTATTCGTCCTGCATGAACAAGAAAGTTACATTTTTATGTATTAAGAAAAATAGTTAATTCACTTCTATTTCCTAAACTATTATCATTTTTTCTATTGCTTCCCTTAACTATTAATTTTATCTATTTAGTCCTTAAAATTTTATTTTGATGATTGTACAAATTAGTAATTGTTGAAACCTAATTTGATGGTAAAAAACGTCATTCTAAAATTTAAACAATTTAGCCATACAACCAAGCTTTAATTTTTCTTTTTCTTTGAATCAACTACTCCCCACAACCAATTTTCTTGTTTTCCTTGTTCTAATAATTGTTCATAACCTCTAAGATTGTAGGCCTATCTAGAAGCTTCCCATTATTTTTATTTCTAGGTTTTTTTTTTTTTTTTGGTTTTTGTTTATCACAATTTTTTTGTTAGCTCCAGCATCTACAGAAAAATTTCTGTACTTGCGCTAACTTGTAAAAGTCAATTTATTCCATTGTTAGTTTATTTTATATTGTGAGCATGTGGTTGTGATTTAATCCATTTTCTTTTTTCTTTCGGTCGCTATTCAGCCTTGGAAGGAAAGATTGAAGAGTGCACGTGAGCAAGGAACACTTGTCCACCTTTCAAATTTGGATCTAGAATATACTTCAGGAGAAGTGGAAGTAATGTCCATATTATTTGGCAAGATCGATATATTGTGCATGACTCCTGTGTCAGTTTTCTTTCGCAATTTTTATTGCACATCTAGATTTCTACAATGGTTCAATCTAGGGTGGGTGAATTTATCATCATTATTATTGTAATCATATAGTAGGTGTTCTTTTGAAATTATGGAGAATATTCTTTTGGAGAAAAGTACTTTTAGTTTCACATTTTTGGTCTAGACATGGTCAACTTGCACAGCTATGTCATCAACAACTCATTTCACAAGGCCTCTAGTGGGATATAATATTGTTATGAACAAGTAGCAACAATAAAGGCATAGAAAGACGTTTTTTTTTTTTAAATTCTTTCTCTTGATTCCTTGTTTGGCTAATGTGAATAAGATTCATTTACCAGAAGTTAACATCTTGACAGCTCTTGATTCTTTGGCAAATCTGGATATATTTTTTAAATTCTTTCTCTTGATTCCTTGTTTGGCTCTTGATTCATTTACCATAAGTTGGGCATTGCTTACATCTTCCTTTTCTGTTTTCTCATGGTTAGTTATTTTCTTTTCTGTTTTCAGTCAATTGTTGGAGACAAGAAATACAATAACTCTCCTTAGGAATGAATAAACCAATGAAGTACAAAAACCAACAATAATTTTATTTTTATGGCAATAAAAATGGCACGTAGTTTTGTGACTCATGATTATTTGAAGTAAAGTCTGCAAGTTGCTTTATAAGGACACGTGCTAAGACTGATTGTGGCTTTATGCTTCTTGATTGTCACTATGAATCTCTTAATTTTCTATTGTCAATAGTGTGCAATTTATAACCTTTAAAACGGCTTCATTTGGAATTGTAAATGAAGGGAAACAAATTGGAGTTTATCTAGTCTTATTTTAAATTAAAAATATAAAAAGGTATTCAAATTGATGTGTCAGTATGATCAATGGCGTCTTTTATAATCTGGAATTAAATGCTTAATTTTCAACTTCTTGCTTGGGTTATGGAATTTTAGGTATTCCATCTTTCATAAAGCTGATAAAAGGTTAAAACAGCTTCTGCCTCTTAATCCCTTTTGTCTTGCTCACCCCCAATTGCTTTCTTTGAATTTGCTCAAACTTTTCTCTTAAAAACTTTAATTTGAAATAAGAGAGATAAAATCTAAATACTTTAAATACTGCAATTTAAGCAATGGGGGACTAATAGCTCTATGGTTGTTGCAATGGACTCCTCTTCATTTGCTACAATCTTGCTTATCTTCTTCATTCCCCCAAGAAGAGAGCATACCATAATCATCTATGACAGCTTCTTTAATAATAGTAGTGTATACTTACGGGTGCGTATGGAACTTTGCATGATGATGCTTCTTTCTAATCTATCCCAAGCATATTTTGGTAATCTGTTGCTCTGACTTCTGCAGGCATTTGAGCACCTTTTAGAACGTGAATTAATCTCTTTTACGGACAACAGAGGGCATAATCAATCTGTTGAATTTCGCCCGGTAAAGCTCCTAATCTCATACCATGAACTATATCAAGGGTTGAAATCATATTGGTCTGTCCAGTAAGTTTCTAGAATGAAGTGCGCAAATGTTAAATGGTCATGATCTTTGGATGCACTATAGAAGTATGGCACTCATATTCTTGATGAATCTGTAAACATAAGACTATACTATATGAGAAATCTATATAGCTTTTTCGGAAATTTTCATGCTAGTTTGCAGTTTTATCATCTTATGATGTTTCAAAAGCTAGTTTCCTAGCAACATCTAGACATTAAAATTTCAAAGACTTTCAACTTACAATATCTATGAAAAGTTGGTGATTAGTCTATTATTTTACACATGTTGATAGGCAATTCTTCATAAATTAATTGATCGTGAAGGATTCATTGATGGTGTTACTAGCCTCGACCGGGCAGTGGCTCCTGCCTCAATTTTGTCAAATTTGTTTGGAAGACTTCAAGATTAGAGATAGTCTAACCAATGGCTTCTGGTGCTGACCTAAATTCCATCCTAAATGAGGGAGATTCTCTTAACTGCTAACATTTGTAATGTTTTTCATTTCATTCTTTTTGTCTATTTATTTTTTCCTCAACGGTAGTGCTAATATCTTTCCTATTTATACTGCACATTATTATTATTTTATTTTATTTTGATAAGTTATACTGCGCATTATTTTAGTACCTAGGTGATGTGAGACTTGGTTTCATAGGTACTAGAGAAGGATGCAAGCTCATGTATACAACTTAGGAATGTGGGATATCAGGGTATTACATTCAACCCCAATAGGAATACACGTCCTCACGTAGTCTATGGTTCCCACCATGCTGTTGCCATTGTCCATAGGAAAACTGTGCTAAGGATGCATAGTATGTTTGAGCATAGCCCATGCCAATTTTTCTTGGTATACCTATTTAACTTGTTACTCTGGAGTCTTAGGGGTCACAGAAGTATTTAATCAATAAAAGAGTTCCACTGTTATTTCCTACATTAAATTTTCTTACATTCCTTGATGAATTGAAGGTTTTCACACATGTTCATCACCTAAACTTGGTAATATTCTAACTTTCCCATTGAACGTGTGTGTCTAAGTGGTGTTATCTTTTCTCTATGTAGGCATGTATAGAATTTTATCTGGCTTGTTGCCTTATTGTTTTAACAAAGTTATGCATTGTCATTTCATGAAATTCAAACTACACAAGCTGATTAAACTGACTGATCCTATTTAGATTTACTAGCGGTATGCAATTTAAACAAATAAGAATAAAAGAAGATGATAATAAAATTAATATTATAATATATATTTAGATTAATATGGTGATATTTTTTAGTTTGCTTCATAATTGTCGCATCTACAGGTGGTTGATGCATGGGGAACAGTTGCTATATTGATAAACAATGCAGGTTCTTGAATGTTCCACCTCCTCTTCCATCATTAACAGTTTCAAATATAGTCCACTAACTGATCAACAATGGTTTCAGGTATTACTAGAGATGGTTTATTGATGAGAATGAAGACTGCTCAATGGAAGGAGGTCGTTGATCTAAATCTCACTGGTGTATACCTAGGCACACAGGCGTGTAGACTTTAAGCTCAGTTTTGGCAGTCATAGTTTTCTTCTTAGTTGGATCTAAGCAGCTTTTTTACTACTCTTTGTAGGCTGCAGCCAAAATTATGATGAAAAAGAAAAAGGTATTCCTGTCTCAGAGGCTCAATTTTATTTATATTAAAACTGTATTTGCCAGACAATTACACTTTTTTTCCCACTTGCAAGGGGGGTGGGTAGGGATTTTAGTGTCAACCTATTTTTGATGCATTTCCACTTGAAAGTTTGTTTCTCAAATTTGCATCAGAAATAGTTTTTGGAAAAAAAATTCAATTCTCTCCTCATTTCATGCTTTTTCATAATGCATCACAAGTTGCTTACAATTGAGAAAGAAATTGATATTTTGAGAAACAATTGAGAAAAAATATATATTTTGGTGAATGCTTGGCAGATGACAGCACAAGATGTGTCAACAATGTTGAGATGTGAACAGAGGACCATCATCTTCCTTATAGAACCTGAGAATTTTTGTTTCTTAGTGGATGCTTTCATAGTACTTGTATGTATAATTGGTATGTATAATTAGTTTGAATTTTGTGCCGATTTGTTTTGTAATAATTTTTAACTTACCACTAGGCACTAGTTTAACTTTATTTCATCTTAGAATTGAAATATTTTTGCATATTGAGAAGCATGAATTGATCTAGTATTATGTTTACCTAAATTTAGTCAATATATTGTATATTTTTCATCTTTATAAAAAGTATTTTTTTTTAAAGTTAAATCTCACAGAATTAGCACAATTTTTTATTTTTATTTTTATTTTTTTTTATTAAAAAAATGAAGCTATAATGGCGTTTTTAAATGTCACTATAGAATACTAACGGTTATATTTTTAAAATAGAAAAGATCTATCACGGCGTTTTTAAAACGTCGCTAAATGTGGAGTGACGTCATTGTATCATTATGCAACACATTTAGTGGCGTTTTAAAAAACGCCGCCTATACTGATATAGTGACGCTTTTAAAGCGTCATAAAGTTACAGCGACGGCCGTATCTTCGGCGCTTGGTATTAAACGTCACAAAAACAATTAGCGGCGTTTTTGATACCTTTGGCGGCGTTTTTTAAACGCCACTAAAAGCTCAATTTCCAGCAGTGTAATCAAGAGATCATATATGCAATAGTAACTTTATTTTTTAATATTGTAAGCATGCCTCGGAAAAAGTGTGAAGGAAAATGAATTCAAATGCAAACAATGGATATAACCTGTACATGTTTTAATACACAGACACAAAATCAAAATTGTGGCCAAGTTTTTTTTTTTTTTTTTTCCTTATTCTAACACAGAGAAACATGTGGTTTATAAAAATAGACCAAAACAAAACTAATCATGAAAACAGTGAACTTATATATCTTCTACAAACTAACAGCATGCCTATTTCTATACATTTCATTTCATGCAAAATATATACTAATCTGTTTTAAGCTTGTTGTCTAAATTGTACAATTTAAATCAAATAAATAGATATAAGAAATGAAATTAATTTACAGGAAACAAAATCATTCGATTACACCATACAACTTACTGAACATAAATACATAAAACAAAATTAAGAAAAAGAAACGCAAATCGAAACTCGTGTGATACCACACTGTCTTTAAAATAGATTAGTTGCCTCACCGTAGGTGCTGGAGGCACGTTGACTTCTGTCTCCCAAGATACGACGGTTTAGACCGGCTAACACGAAAACACCTTCTGATAGCTTTGGCAAACCGACAATGGCAACATTCTCTCACACATGAAGAATATATTATAGGAGGAGACTAACTTGATTATAATCTGAGAGCAAAAAATTATGTACCAAAACTAAGGGAGCTGGGTCTCCTTTTATACACCATAGGGGAGAGAGGGGGAGCCTGCTGGAGTAATGGACTAAAACTTATAGGTGGGAAAAATATCTGAGATATATTTTCTGTATACACAAGTGTGTATATCTGTAGTAGACTTGGGCCGAAAAGATTAGATTGGTGGACCACCAATCCAGCCCAGCCTATTCCCTCAAGCCTCAAGCCTTAAGGACAATGGACTTGGACCGATCCAAGCGAGCAGGCAGCGCACGCGTGTGGTAATTTTGCTATAACCAATTTGAACCATAGTCTTGCCCCAAGTCTATCCGTGAACCATCTGTAACTCCCTCTCTTCATAAAATTTGGATGGCCCAAAGGGCTCATACCCTTATCAAAATCTTAAGGTTTAAATACTCATCAAAGTTTTCCTCTACAATTAATGTAGGATTGGTTATACACAATTTCTAAAATCTCATTCATGATGTCGTCTTTATGAGAGAATTTTTCATTTAATTTTCAATAGTTTTCGATCATTTTTTTTTTTTTGTGATATAAAGATCTTGTTATAAAAATTCTAAACCCATTTAATTTCAGCTCAACCAATAGTTGAGATCCAATTTAATTTCATATTAAAGTCGTTATAAAATCATTTTTTCTAGTGGGTAGGCTCATGTTGCAAAGTGGTGGAGGAAAGGATAAAGGAGGAAGGAGGAAGGAGGGAGGGAGGAAGACGTGGTGGGGGCTGCTGTAATGGTTGGCTTCTATACGCAAAGAGAAAAAAGAAAGCAACATGGTAGGTAAGACCAGGTAAATAAAATATATTTAATTTAATTGTTGACAACATTCAAATCTATTAGCTGAGTAATGTAATTTAGATCAATTAACAGAGGAGACAATCTGTAATGTAATTTTAACTCTGATGGAAGGGAACATAATTTTTAAAATGTGAGGTGAAAATTTATATTAAAATCAAATTTTAAGAGGTCACAGTGTAATTTATTTAATTTATTTTTAAAAAAATTAGTGAAATATTTCTCTCTAATTTTACGTAGTAAGAGAGATCTAAGATATTTTTTTTATTAGTTGAGAGACCTTAACTACTCTAAAGATATTATATATCCTTTATCTTATAAAATTTTAATGTGTGTGTTTGATTTGAGTTTTTTAGATTAATTTTTTTTTAAATTGAGTTTTTTATTTTTCGTCTTTTTTTTTTTATTTTTAGTGAATATTTTTAAAATTTTAAGCTTTTTTTTTACTTTTTTAGATACACTTTACTTAGATATATCTAAAAAGTAAAAAAATTATAAAAGAATATTTTCAAAAATTAATAAATACATAAAAATATTAAAAAAATATACTGAATTATCGTATTTTTTTTATATTTTTGGTATTTAGTAAATTTTTAAAATATTTTTTCATAAAAATCATACTTTTTATATGTATTTATGTTAGGTGTGTCTAAAAAATAAAAAATTACTTAAAATATTTAAAAAAATCAGTGAAAAAAAATACAAAAAATAAAAAAGTATAATTTTTCTAAAAAGTATTTTTAGAAAATAAAAAATAAGCAAAATGAATATTATGTACCTTAAAAAAAAATTCCATTTATTGTTTTAAGGTTACTTTGTTTCCAATCAAGCGGAAAAGAATCTTCACCGATCCCAAATTCCAAGGGGAGATCAGCTCGCAATAATCAAATATATTACTCTATTTGCTACAAACGCTAGGATTTGTATATAGTTTTCCTTCGACAAAGTCCTGCTTTACAGCTCGCTTCCAAGCAAAGCAAAAAGTTACTCAAAAACCAACCAATCTCTCTCTCTCTCTCTCTCTCTCTCTCAAACCAACCAATCTTTGTCTCTCTCTCAAAATCCATAGGCCTTGTTTAATTCCACAAGACTAATAGTGACGTATAAATAATCTTATTAAATTAGTGTAATATTCACAATCCTACCCCTATTTCATTATTAATAATCCTACAAATTTGTTTGATTAATTATCCATTGAATTAATAATCCTAAAGCAAATTATCAAAACAAACATGGGATAATTGAGCCCACAGATTAATAATTCTAATCCCATACTCTAATCCTTCTAATCAAACATGCCCATAGAGACCTATTTTTTGGTGGCCTTCTTATCATATGATGACTAGGGGTGTGCATAATACCGCCGAAACTGTCAAAATCGCACCGAACCGCATCGTCAAAGCAAATTCGTTACTATTTGCCAATCGAACCGCCAGTTTTTTGTAAGAAAAATGACAAATTCTAGTGACAATTTTATCAATCCGCCGGTTTCTATTTTTCTTCCAAACCGCACCGACCCGCGCCGCTATTAAATCATGTTTTATAAGATTCTAAAAATTCTTTTTTACTTAAGCTTGCTTGTTGTTCTATACCTTAGAATATAGTATTTCATTACTGTTCGAGGAGAATTTAATATGTCAGTAATCCAAAATAAAGTTGAATTCCAATTCACTTTTCAATCTTATTTTTTTCTGGCCATGTTGTAAACTTGCATCAGCTCACTTTTCAATCTAAATACTTTTCAACAGTAAACATTTTCAAAATATTGTAAACCCCGAATGATATGTATTGTATTTGATCATTGTACCTTCTACAGATGCTTGTAATGAACTAATGGCATAGTCGTTGATATTACCATGTTGTTGCTACACTTGCTGCATCAGAAAAAAGCTTCGCAAGATGCTTAACATCACGGTATCTTTCGTCTTTTTTTACTCTTTAATTTAAGTTTTGTAATTTGAATTATATTTTTTATAAATCGTCAATCCGCCCGAACCGTCAAGACAAATTCGTCATTATTTGCCACCCAAATCGCCGGTTTTTGATAAAGAAAATGACAAATTTTAGTGACACTTTTATCAATCCGCCACCCACCATACGATTTCTATTTTTCTCTCAAACCGCACCGACCTGCACCGCGCATACCCCCTAATGATGACTACGAACTGACATTGACGTTCTTCATTGTGATTGCCTTGTTTCACTGTCTTCACAAAATGCTCTTCACTACTTTACCCTCACTTGGGCAATACAAGTATGTAAATTATTTATTTATTTCATCTATTTTGGTTCTTTATCACGAAGACGGGTAGGAATTTTTATTGATAAATTTTATTTAGAAATGTTCTAATTTAAAAAGTTCATAAAGAAATTTCTTAACCTACTTAATCTCATGTGTTTATATTTTTATTCATAAAGTCATTTTTCTTGATTTACACTATTTTTTTAGATTCTTATGCCATTATATTTAATATTGATATTTAATGTTAGAGAGAGGAGAGAGAAGGGAAAGGATCAAGACATAAGAAATTTTATACATAAATTAAATAACATTGATGTTATTATTTTATATTATTATATAATGTGAATACATTTTTAATTTGATGTCAATTAAAAATAAAGTGAACATTCTCTCTCATCTGAATTGCACATTCACAACACATTTTCGAAAAATTCTCTCTCATCTAGTGTAGTGATATGAATATTCACAACATGTGAACCTTCTTATTTTTAATTGACAACACATTAAAAATAACGTTTAATATATTTTTAATTGACAACACATTCTTATTTACTACATATAGTAATGTGAACGTTCACATTCATATGTTTAAATATGAATATTCATATCATATAATTGATAATGCAATGACAAAAATTTATTTTAAATAAATGTGAATGTAATGATGTGAATATTCATTTCAATTACATAATGTGAATATTCACATCATGTAATTTATAACACAATGATAAAAATTTATTTTAAATTAATATGAATATAATGACAACATCTTAATGTATGAGAATTACCAAAATATAATGACAATCAACATTAATGGGGGCATGAGAGTTTAGGAGTGTTTTACTTTTCTTATCTCAAATAAAACTTAATGAAATAATCAAAAAGAATGTGGATTACATGAAATACAACTCTTAGAAATATGATTTATCAAAACATCTCCCATACGTGTACGTATTATTTATTTTATTAATAGTAATTGAAGAATGGTCTAATAGGTATTTTTGTTTTGATTGCTTTGGCTTATGATAGAATTATATGGTTCAACAGGAACATATTAGTAGTTTTGGTTTTTTTATTTGCACTTTCATTTACATATAAATCTCCAATACATTGGAGTGGTTTAAGATGATTTAAATAAGTGTAGTTTTTGACTTTTTATGAAATATGGATTGAGTACGGATTGAATTTGAAATGATGTGGTAAAAAGATAATGTGACTTAAATAAAATGATGTGATTTAAATAGGATAATGACCTTTTAACTTGTTGACTTTTTTAAATTATAACAAACGAGGCCATTGAGACATATTATAACTCTGAATATGAATATACAGATTGTCGCATTTGCAACTTGAATTGCGAAATCAGAATCCATCTGATTTTATACTTATATAAATTAAATCTAATCTTATACTCAACATAATGACTTTTTGATACCAAAAGATACAATTTTTTTTTAATTAAAAATTACCCATAAATATCGAGTTGTCATGAAAGGGTACCGCATTCACAGCCCAAACTCTTCATTAACTAATATGGGATCATGATTTCTCAATCGTATGACAAAATGAGAAAATTTTCTTAAAAATGTGTGACTGAAATGCAATAGGTACAAATAACAAGAATTTTATATATGTATATCATTGGTGCAAGCAGCATTGACATTGTGGTCATCGTAATTTTTTTTTATGGGAGTGGTCTTTGCCTTTATTTATTGAGTTTATGTGGTTTAGAAGATAACCACCCAAAATCATGGCTGATTTTTCTAGAGGTGGGTGAGACTCATAATATAATACACCTTAACCCAAAAAATTTCTCTTTCACATATTATTATTATTTGATTTATTATAATAAAACTCAATTAATTATAATCATAACGATGAAGATCAAATATAATATATATTTATATATAATTAATACAAATAAACTCTTAAAAGTAAGAAAGAAAAATCTAAATAAATACATAAAATATAAGACACACACAATTTGAGAGATTCAAACCACTGAGGTTTCGTTTGGCAAGAAAGTTTGGAGTTATTTTAGTCACAAAAGACAAAATAGGCTATTTTAGCCACAACAAACAAAACATCACATTCAACACATAATCATAACATTCTTCTCTCACAAAAAAAGTCAAAAAGTCATTCCCAAACCAAACTTTTTAGCCCAGGCTAAAATAGCCAAAAAAGCCAAAAAGCCAACCCACTTCACAAACGGAGGCTAACAAGAAAATAAATCACTATATTAGGCACCGTTTGGGAAGGTGGGTTAGAAGCTTATTTTAGCTACAAAAGATAAAATAGGCTTTTTAGCCACAATAAACAAAATATCACATCCAATCCATAATCATTACACTCTTCTCTCACAAAATAAGCCTAAAAAGTCAAAAAACCATTTCCAAACTAAATTTTTTATCCTAAAATAAAATAACTAAAAAAATCAAAAAACTAAAAGATTGACCCCCTTCCAAATAACTAAAAAAATCAAAAAACTAAAAGATTGACCCCCTTCCCAAACGAAACCAAAGAATTAACCACACTCTTATGGTATGTGAAAAGTACTTTCAAACAAATTTGTACATAATTACTATTAGAGTTGACCACTCTATGGCATGTGAAAAGTACTTTCACTGCATTAAGAATTGACCACTCTCTTAGGAATAATATGATAATGTTTGATTGAGTGTTTACAATTTATTTTTTTTAATATTTAAAAAATATAGACATTAATGAAAAAAAAATCACATTCACATGGTTTGAAAGAAAGAATCTCCTTATGGTATGTGAAAAGTACTTCAAACAAATTTGTATACAATTACTATTATGCACAATATATGTTTGTGAAATTATTCATACTATGGACACAACATACAGGTATGACACTCTGGAAAATTATAATAATTGAGTGTCACTTTCTGATATAGATATGCCTTTTTATTCTTTTTCTTTTTTCAGCTTTTCATTTTCTTCCCATGTGCAGTAAGGCAATGTTTGGTTTTGGCTTTTGACTATTTCAGCTAAAAAGATTTTGCCTATTTGGCAATGAATTCGGTTAGGTTTCACAATTGTGTTTTTAACGTTTTGTTGTTGATAATTTTTTCTATTGAATTTTTTTAAAAACAATTCCAAAAAACTTTTAGGTTCTATTAAATAAACCAACTTGGAAAAAGAAAATAAAACATTTTTGAAAAACGTAAAAGCAAAAAAGTCAATTTTTTCACTTTTTTTCTTTTGGTTTTTAGTAAATTTTATTTGAATTTTTACAGGTCGGTCTAGATTAGAAGAATCTAATGAGTATTTTTTTTTTTTCGATAACCGAGTGTCCAGACTAGTACCTCTTCGGAGTGTCGCACCTCAATTAATCTTGGGACTCTGAACCGATCGACCAGGCAAAGACGCAATGTCCTAATGAGTATTTATTGACACAAAAACTCACTAAAGACTAAGAAAATTCATTTAAAAAAAATATGATTTATTTAGCTATTACCAAACAAAGACAAGACCAACCAAAAAAAAGAAAAAAAAAATTCTCACTCAAATTTTTCACTAAAAAAAATATTTTTTTTAGCATTAGTCAAATATATCAATTATTTAAAAAATTAGAATTATTAAAAAAATATATATATATTTCTTGAATCACACATAAATGGTGACAAACCACAATTAAACGCAACATAAGTGAGATGGTGATTGCTTCATAACAGTCCTACCATAACTGAAAAAGAAGAAAAGGAGGTGGAGGAGAAAAGGGTTGCAAGTGAGGTCAGAGATGGGTCAGACTTTCACTGAAAACCAGGAAAAAAAATTCATGATTTCTCTCTTTCAGTTGCATTACAATCCCTTTTTAACTGATTTTTGGCAGTCTCACACGTGTAAAACCCATGCTATTGGCATTCTTTCAATTGGGTATTGCTTGTTTTCTTTGGATCTCCATCAAAACTCACATCCCTCTGAGCTTCAACACATTCCCAAGAGCCTCCATTTCTGGCTTTAAAGTTGAAGCCTATATTTCTTGTAAGTTTTCTATTTCTTTAATCTTTGACACTATTGGATTTCATATAGTACCATGGTCTGTCTGGCTCTTAATTGGCAATGGTTTTGTGGTTTTGAGTTGAAGAAGCTCTAATACATGTTTCTTTTTTAATCTTGACCCTTTTGAATTTCATATAGTATCATGGTCTGACTTCTAATTGAGAATGGGTTTTGTGGTTTTGGGTTGAAGAAGCTTTGATACCTGTTTCTTTGAGGTCTGTTTGGTCCTGACCCATTTGGTAATTCCATAGTTTATGGCTTATGAAAGCATCTATTGTAGTTTCCAATTGGTTCTCTTGTTTCTTCTATTCTTTCTTTATATTTTCCCAGAGCAAGTTTTGTGGTTTTGAGTTGAATTGAAGGAGCTTTAATACCTGTTTCTTTGAGGTTTGTTTGGTCCTCACCCATTTGTAATTCCATACTTTTATGGTTTATGAGAGCATTTATTGTAACTTCCAATTGATTCTCTTGATTTTCTATTATTTCTTTAATAAAATTTCACTTAGATAAATCCATTTAAATTGATGAAGATGTTTAGGTAGTGTTTGATGTAGTTTCTCTGATAATTTTGGATACCAGGAGGAACATATTCTTGAGTAATGGATGAAAAGGGGGTCTTAAATCCGTGTTTGGTTACATCTGAAGATAAAAGTGAAAGCTTATATCCAATGTTCTTTGGTGTTTCTTGTGCATTATTCGCACTCAGGCTCTTATCAAGGTCTGAAACGAATGATGAGAAATGGTTAGAAACTAGGAATAGATTGCTTCAAGGAAGTGCTCACCTGTTGGGATTGCTTGTTTGGAGAGTTCAGAGAGATGAATGCAACAGTACTGAAAAGGGTGAGATCCTTTGTAAACTTGAAATTGCGAAGAGAGAGATTGAAGGGTTGAAGAGAGTGAGAAGTGAAGATGCAAAGGCAAATGACAAAGTCGTGGGCATATTTGCTTCCCGAGAGCAGAGTTGGTTATCTGAAGGAAAGAAGCTTCAACGCCAAATTGGAGCACTTTTAAATGAATTAAGAGTCATGCAGACTAAAAGGGACAAATCTATTTCTGAATTGAATGATAAGTTAGAAGAGAAGGCGTGTTTGTTGCGGTCCAAAAAAAATCTAATGGAGTTAGAAGAGAAGAAGAGAAGTGAGCTAGAAGAAAAACTAAATGAGTCTGTAAAAGGTGTGGAGGAATTGAGAGAGAATGCGAAATGCCAAGCCCAAGAGCATTCCTTGGTGATTTGGAAACACAAAACCGCTTTCATTGAGCTTGTTTCTAACCATAGACAGCTTGAGGCTGAGATGGGTCGAGCCCTCAAGCAAATCGAGGCTGCAAAGCAAGAGCTTGAATCGGTTTTAGAGCAAAAGGATGAATCTGTTTTAATGGCTAGGAAACTATCAATGGATCTGATTAAAACACAAAAGGATTTGGAACAAAAAGACAAGATCTTGTCAGCTATGCTGAGGAAATCAAAATTGGACTCAGAACAGAAGCAAATGCTTTTGAAGGAAGTGAAATTATTGAAGGCAAAGAGAAAGCAAGCTGAGGTTGAAACAGAAAGGTGGAAAGCAGTTTCTGAGTCTAGACGCGATAGGCATTCGTTGAAAAGTATGATGTTTAAGCATTCCAGTTCAAAATCGGAGGCTTTATTAGATGGGAGAGGGGCGCGTTCTAATGCAATGGTGCCATCACAGAGTGGATGGAGTAGAACAAAGAAAACTGATTTTCTTCCAGAGGAGCATCAAAAAGAGATGGAAGTTATTATTTCTCCACTTTATGAGCAGTACTCACCCGAAGGAAATGAGGAACTCGGTAAGTTCACATCTTCATTATGCCCCTTCTGATTTCTAGATTTTAAATGGTTTTCATTTTCAGAATCAGTTTTCACCAAACTAGTTTTTCATTTTCAAAATCAGTTTTCACCAAACTAGTTTTTCAATAGTTAGCTCTTGGTCTTCTGGTAAAAAATAATGTCAATGTCGGCGTTTAGGTGCACTATTCCGCAGTGGGGACTGGAACTTTTGAATTTCCCATTTGTCATTCAACAAATGAACTTTACTTTTTTTTTTTTTTTTTGAGGATCGATGAATCAAAGGATATTTCTGTTTCAATTTTTTCCTGTTCTTCTCCCTCTAAATCAAACTTTTCCTTGTCATAATGGTATTGAAGATAAGATTATATAATTAAATATATGGAAGATATTAGAATATATATTATGATACCTTTAATAATATAATCTTATCTCCAACAAATGGTTCAGTTCATATTAATATCTATGATACAAGTCGGATCCTAGCTTATATGAAGGTAGAACTTCTCCCCATCAAAATAAATGAGATTATCGTGGATACAACATGCTAAAAAAATTAACCAAATTCACTTGATGTAGAGGCAATCAAAAAAGCTACTAAAAACTACCTTGGTGAAAACAGATTCTAAAAACTAAATAAAAAAGAGTGAGTTTTTAATCGATTTTGGGTCGCCTACTTGAAGTCCTCGAGTACGACGCTATCCGAAAGCTAAACATTAAAGATGCCATTTTTAAAAAATAAAAGAAAAATATTTATACCGTCATTAAGTGTGAAAGATTAGTTTGAGAGAGTGAGAGAAGCTATAGAGCGAGAGAGAGAGACTGAAATGTTTGTATATTGATTGATTTACAAAGAGAATGAAGTCTCTCTTTATAGAGAGAAAATGGGCATTGGATACCACCATTACCACCGAAAGCAAAAGAAAACAGATTCTAAAAACTAAATAAAAAAGAGTGAGTTTTTAATCGATTTTGGGTCGCCTACTTGAAGTCCTCGAGTACTACGCTATCCGAAAGCTAAACATTAAAGATGCCATTTTTAAAAAATAAAAGAAAAATATTTATACCGTCATTAAGTGATAATAAAATGAACAATCAGTTGTTTGATTCTGTTTTATTATTATAATTACTAGGTGATAATAATAAATTTGCTTGTGAAGTGTTTGCAGATGATGTTAAGCAGTTGGAGGGTTGGGTTCGATCTGAAGCTGAAAAATATGCTAATTTAGTTGAGCAAAGGCATCACCTAGAAATAAACGCCTTTGCCGAACAACTGAGACTTAAGGATGAGAAATTAAAAGCTTTTCGTTGGCATTTACTAAGCTTGGAACTGGAATCAAAGCAGCTACAGTCCCACATTGAAGGGCTTAACCATGATCTATCACAACTCAGGCAAGAGAATGTGAAACTGGAAGCTTTGTTATTGGATCGGGAAACTGAGGTAAATTTATTGAAGCAGCAGTTAGAGCCCCTAAGTTGCCAAAAGACAGACTTAAATTCATTTTCACAGAATCAGGCAATGGGCTATGAAACTGTTTGGTCCAAAGTCAATATCATAAAGAGGAAACCAGGGGACAAAGAACAAGAAACAAATTCAATGGACATTTCACAAGAAGTGGAGCATCAAAAAGAAGAGGAATCCTCAAGCACAAGGCAGTCCAAAGATATAATTTTGACGGTCCAATCTCCAGAAAAGGAATTTGAGGAAGAAAAAGATGTCGCTTTGGACCCAAGTTCCATTCGAGAGTTTCATGCTAGCCCAGAAGAGGTTGACATTGTTGAAAATTCAGCATCATCCAGCCAATGCTCGAGTAAGAGCATTGTTTCACCCTGGAAGATGGACCTTCACGCTCTCGGAGTTTCTTACAAGATCAAGAGGCTCAAACAACTCCTTCTCATGATCGAGCAGTTGATAGGAAAACATGAAAGGTGTGAAGATAGGGAAGGTGGTGATGATAATGTGCAGGCTGGAATAAAGGGATTGCACATACTAATGTCATTGTTGAATAAACAAGTTAGTCGATACGAGTCCCTCCAAGGGAAGATTGATGAACTTTGCAAGCGGATGGTAAGTCCTCAATTTTTAACTTTTAATGCAAATTTCAAAATTATAGATATATGCAGTTTGTTTACATATTTAAGTTTTGGTGACTTTGTTGTAGCCTAGACAAAGTGCGAGCATTGTTCGTGATTCTAACCATTTTATGTTCTACATCCCTTACATAACTCATCTCTAAACAAATTAACATGCCATTGCTTCTAAGTTCAATAGGCACTAACCCTTTACTCTTTAACATTCTGCAACCGAAGCATGTACTTGCTTTAATAATTTTTTCTCGATTATTTTCAGCATGAAAAGGATTTGGATGTGACGCGTGGAGGTTCTAGTATTGCCAAAACAAAAGAGGAAATTCGAACACTAGAGCAGTTCCTCGAGGAAACATTCCAGCTTCAGAGATACATAGTTGCAACGGGACAGAAGTTGACGGAAATACAATCCAAGATTGCCTCGGGATTTGTTGAAGCTATGGAGAATATAGATGGGCCTGCCGACTTTGACATGAAGAGATTTGCTGATAATGTTAGAACCTTCTTTCGGGAAGTCCAAAGGGGTCTTGAAATCCGGATAGCTCGGTTCATTGGCGATCTTGAGGGTACATTGGCTTGTGATGGGATTATACATCTGAGAAAGTAGTAAAAATGAGGCCTTAGAGGATTCTGAGGTATAGGTTTTTCTTGCTGAGCAAATTTGCATAGTGAAATTTCTCAGCAATTTTTGTATGCAATAGAAATCCATTGGGTCTGTCTTTTGTGTTTAGTTATTGACCCAAAATCATATATGTAAACTACACATGTCCTGTCATTATAGATGAGAACCTTATTTGTATACCTTTTTGCATTTGTGACTGTACATGTCTTCTGAATAATATATATATATATATATATATGTCATTGTCATGTCATTCTAAATGAGAATCTTGTTTGTATACTGTTTTCAGTTTGTAATTGTAGTTGTCTTGTTTTCTATATTCTCTAGACAAAGAATATTATTTATTTACCTTTCTTTTCTTTTCTTTTCTTTTTTTCTTTTTTCTAATCATTTTTTAGGTTTGAATAAAAATTCTCTTGAATTGTGTAGTAGTGTTTCAAAAATAATGCTAAATTCTGTGTTGTTTAGGATTTAGCAAAAGAAAAAATTGACAGAAAATTTCAAATGTAATTTAAAAAACAGACCAAAAACATCCTAGATTATTGGCAAATAAAACATAGCACACATCTCCTCAAAATTTCAAAGAGTTGGTCGGCTTCTTCGCGAACAATGAGCCTCAAATTCGAGCTACAACCTAATAAGGAAGCACTGTATTTACCAAATTTACCCCATTCAAAATCTGTCTCACATGCCTAGCTAGGGCTTTCATTTTAGCCCACTTTCTCTGATCATGGCCCAGTAAGTCAGAGGGTTTACAAAACAACTGGGCCAGAAGAGTCCGATCTGAATGAAAGCATTGCAAACCCAAGTCAGTTTTGTAGCCCACTGCATTCCAGACAAGCCCACGCTAGGCTTAGCAAGTCTCTGAATTAGGGCGGTAGAATGAACCAAATTACCCGACCTCGACTCCTGTCGGTCCGTTTGAGATTAACTCTTTATGTAAATATGTCAAAGTTAAATATATTTTAAAACTCATTAAATTTTGATTAATTTAAGTACTAGTTTTAATTAGATTATGTGCACCGTAAAAATAAAATCATTTGAACTGAGTTTGTGATTGAATTGATTAAAACGTGTTTGAAATTAACTTAAAATGTAACAAACCAAAATTGAATACATCCGGTTGGGTTGAGTTTGGAGCTATTTTAACTACTAAAAGATAAAATAGACTTTTTAACAAAGCATTACATCCAATCCATAATCATTATATTATTTCTCTCACAAAAAGTCAAAAAAGTTAAAAAATTCTTCCCAAACGAGACTTTTTAGTCCCAGGTCAAAAAACTAACTCACTTTCAAAATAAACTCATGTTAAGGGGAACTACATGCAAGTGGAATAGAAAAATTTAGCCAAAACACCTCCATTTGATTCTTATTTATTAGGATAACATGTTACTATCAAATATAATAACATGTTAGTGTTTACATCATATATTTATTTGGCCAATGTAATACTTTTCCATCATTTCTCTAGCAGAATCGCTGTGGCCAACGTCTTCAAAATCGTTCGTTGCGTCTTTTCCTGCAAAATTCAACAACCTCGTCTTAAGAGTGTCATGATTGACGCTCATCGATCCAGAATACAAGAGATGTGTTGTACCAGTTGCAGATAGCAAAACTTCATCGCCTCCGGGATGATCATCCATGAATGGAGTGACATCATACACCTGATATAGTAATTTGAGATTCAGAAATTCATCAATTGTAAAATACTTATATTAGACAAAGAAACAAATTTGCTGGAAATAGATTTCCCCGTCTCATCAACAGTTAGATTAGTGGTGCTAAACAAGAAAGTTTTGGAGTAGATACACACCTCAACAAGATGAAACACTATGACTCTAGTATTGTAAATGAAAGTAACTAGGGGTACACAAACGAGCTGAATTACCAACCAACTTGAGAAGCAAACCCATCCTGACCACCTCGGTTCGGTTCAGGGTTGGTAGGTCAGTTTACCAACCTATTACTAAAAAAATTATATGGTATAAACTTAAGCCCTCACACGTCATAGGCACAAAGTATTACATTGTGAAATTTTTTATGGGTAATTTTTTTCTCATTTTTCCACCTGTATATAATTCTCCCTATATTTTAAAAGTCATTAAATTTTCAAATCTAAATTATGATTGTATTAAATAAAGTACCAAAGAAATTTTGAGTATAGAAATTGCTGGCTGAATATATTAAGAAAATTTCAGTTTAGTGTAATTTTAAGAAAATAATTATAAATAAATGATAAATTTTATAAATATCAATAATTATAATTTTTTAAATAAATTTATAATAATTTTCTCTAATATTTTTTTTTTCTGTTGTCACGTGAAGAATGAACAATCATTCTGGGCTTCAGTGGGACCACTCTCACACTCACACCATTCGCGGCGCTGATTACCATCTCTTACCCGAAAATGGGCTGCTGTTTGAAAAAGTTGAAGCACTCACTATTCTCACACAATGTGGGACCACCTACTTACCATGATCATGTTATGCTTACAATCATATGATAGAAATTATCCTGTATGCTTACGTTTGATAATAGCGTTTTATGATTTGATTTGAATATTGTATTTTTTATTTTTTAAATCATACAAATATAAATCTTTTTGTTATTGAGCAGACAAACAATTAGAAGTGTGCACAAGTCTAAATAGACGGATTGAGATAAATAATCTCAACTAATATTTTTGGTTGTTGATAATTTCTTAATCTACTACCAACTTACGAGATGTCGTAGTTGACGAGTTGATTTAAGTAACTAACGAGAGGGTAACAGGTTATCTGAACAGATTATATGAACACATTTCAAAGTCATTTTATATTGTGATAGTGAAATTACAAGATAAAAAATAAAAATACTTAGGTCATGTTTGTTTGAACGGACTGAATTAGGTTAGATTAGCATTTTCATGATTAATAGTCTTAGAATTACGAATCCCTTTGGATTGTATATCTTATCCTATGTTTGGATTGAGTTAGAATTATAAAGGGGATTAACAAAATATTATCTAATACAATATTTGTTTAAGGGGATTGGAATGGATAAGACATGACAGGACATGGATCATCCAATATATTAACCATAATACTTCTATTATGGTGATTTGATAAGTTAGTCCATAATTTATATCCCACCCCTTTTGTGGGATTAAATAGTCTATCATATGTGGGATATCATATCCGGATAGATTATTAATCCGTACATCAATTTTTTAACCAAATATTGAATTAATAATTTTATTGAACTATTAATTCAATCTCAAACATATATCCGTCCAAATAAACATAACCTTAATGATATAGGAAGCCGCGATGCCGGAGACATGGGTAATGAGGAAGGTGTGCAGCAACGTTGATGGATTTATGAGAGATGAAAGACAAAAAATATTTATTTAGAATTGAGATATTAATTTAATTATAATTACTGATAAGTTAAGCTAATTATTTGGATGAATTGAAGACCTAACTCACATAAATTGAATATGTAACTAGTCTAATTGAACCCACCAAACCTAGAGAATGGTTCGGGATGTTTGATAATATGAATCAATACTTAAAATTAAATTGATTAAGTAATAACTAATTAAATTTATTTGATAATCATAATTAATATCACTTAAAAAATTAAGTGCTTAATATAGGTTAAAATTAAAAAAATAAATAAATCACATAAAATTTATTTAATTCTGATTGAATTTATATCTACTAAACATAAGTATCCATATATATTATTATAAATTCACCACCATCACCACTACTATTATGCCACTATCATTGCCGTCGCCACTGCCATTGCTGTCACCACCACCGTTACCAGTACCACCGCCACTATCACTACAACCATCATCATCATCATGTCACAGCCACTATTACCACCACCACCATCACCATCATAACTATCGTTACTATGCCACCACCACTATTACCATCACCTTCATCACTATTGTCACTGTTATAAGCGCCACCATCATCTTACTATCACTACCATTGCTACCATCATCACCATGCCACTATTATCACTACCGTTATCACCACCACCACCACCGCCATTATGCTACTGCCACAACTACCACCACAACTATCATATCATTACCACCACCATCATCACAATATAAAAATTAAAATATATAATTTAAAAATAATAAATTTTAAATTTGATCTTATACATATCAAATAATTTATTTTTAATTCAGTACTTAATTTTTTATCAAATAATTTTTCAATTTATAAAAATTAATATTTAATTTTTAATTTTCATACAAGATGCAAATTAGATACTTTAAAGGGTTTTTTTTTTTTAGGGTCCCTGATATTAAGACTTTATAGTATAAAGGACATTCAATATTTTAATAATGTCTAAGTTCCCTCAAATTGATCCAGAGAAAATTCAACTTCACAGAAAAAATCTTACCAAAATTTCTCTAGACTCACTTCAACCCAGAGAAATTCTACTAATCCAGAGAAATTCACTTCAACTCAGAGAAATTCACAAAAACTTAGAAAAAATTTCCTTCCAACCCAAAGAAATTCACAAAACCTCCTTAAGCAAGACCCTTCACTTTGAGGAAAAAACAACATAAATCAAAATCTTGAAATCATTGAACAGAGAATGAATATAAATACTATGATATCTATGTGATGGAAAAAAACAAAAATTCATACACTTTTCACAGAGATTTAGAGGATAATCTTAGTATCATATACATCTTGCTAAGGACCAAATTTACAAAAAAACTATCCTAACAAAAGAACCAGATACTCAATTTATTTGCTTAGATAGTAAAAAAAACAATAATAATGACTACACATAATATTATTGATCTAGAGAAAATTCAACTTCACAAAGAAAATCTCGCGCAGATAAATTCTGAAAAGAATTTCTCTAACCTTCCTTAGACTTCCCATTCTCCAGAGAAATTTGAAATTTCTTTGGCCTTTCCTGCCTTCCCTTCTCTCCAGAGAAATTTCCCTTCTCTAGCCTTCCTTAGACATCCCACTCTCCAGAGAAATTTAATTTTTTCCTTCCAACCCAGAGAAATTCACAAAACCTCCTTAAGCAAGACCCTTCACTTTGAGGAAAAAACAACATAAATCAAAATCTTGAAATCATTGAACAGAGAATGAATATAAATACTATGATATCTATGTGATGGAAAAAAACAAAAATTCATACACTTTTCA